GAAACGATCTTAATCCTTTTTTAAAGGCCTTGCATCAGTTAATCGCTACTAATTGCTAATTAGTTGGACACTTACCATCAGGTAAACTGCATGATCATTTACTCTTTCTTTTATAAAAAAGATTTGTATTATGTAGTCTATTCTATTTTATAACAATGTTACGTTTATGTTCTGGAGGTGGGAGAAGTTTAGTTTTTAGTTAAAAGTCGAAGATCCTTTATACAACTAGGATATTATATAACTTTTGCGATCGTCGTTCATGGAGGCTGAAGGGCACCTTGAGCTTGAGGGATCCGGGGCACTGCCCCGCCTTGGCCTAAGGTACCTTTACTCCACTGGCTACGCCAGTCTTCATACCACACCCTCCCTTGATGTTGCAGTTATCATGGACGGCGGTAGTCACCATAAGATGAGCCGCATACTCGTTGGCCCCTTCTTATATAAAAATGTAAACCTTTACAGGAGGGCTTACTTTAGTCTCAGGTCTCCCCTATGAAAGTATACATATGTATTACAGGCGGGGATCTGCTACGCCTCCAAACCTGCATACATTATAAAAGGTCGGAGACGGAAATCCTACTTAACCCCCCCCCTTGTAGTACGAATGGGTCTGCTCGACCGGGGTGGGACCACGCTCTCACCGTAAACCAGCGTAAAATAGCAGCTTAATGCTACTATGTTTCATAATAAGACTTTTTTACTGGAATCGAGTCATTCCATATTAGTCCTCAGGGGTGACAACACGTCTGCATTTTGATTCTTAATCGAGAATAAATGTAGACGTTTATGGGCCTCAGCATCCTCATATTATCAGGTAGACTGTTTGCTCGTTTGTCACTCTTATTCTTTAAAAAAAAGTTTATATAGCTATCATCTAATTACAATACTCTTTAGCTTGGTCACTTTTGCATGACCGAACTACGCTTCTTTACCTGTACTTAGAAAAACATGGAGTAGTATCATATCACGACAACAGGAATAGGGCGGGTATAAATGAAATGGTGGCATTATCTAACAGGCAGTTATTTTGGAACAGGGGTATTATTACTGTTATTCAGTTGTAACAGGATTCTAATACTTCATAGTATACTGTAGCGGCGCTGTCGTCGCCGCCACAAGCGAAAACACGCCGAAGCCTAAATCGCGCTATCAACATTCCGAATCATAAACAGTATATATAGAACATCTCCGAAGTATCACACGGAGCGTCGGCCGCTCCCCGGGCAGAACACCTTGCCCGGCGGGAGATCTCCCCTTTTCCTTCATCGGCCACAGTGGTGACCCCGACGTGATCTGAACACGCAACCAAACAACCTTCGGAAACTTCAAGCTTCGTCATCGTCATAGAATACCCCACCCATTCGCTCCCGAGTAGATATCGTCTGCAGTCTTCATATCCTGCAAGCCATCTAGCTTCACAAGGTTCATCGCAGCGCTGGAATAATAATGCTTCCTGTTCCTTCAAGCTACTCTCTGCGCTACAGTGTTCGGCACGGTTCTGAGCCTTACTGCTCGCCTCTGCTTCACGGCACTCTCGCAGATTACTTGCCTTCTTCTCGACTCACCGCAGACTACAAGGCAATCTCCTGGCACTTGCACATTCGTCGACAACTCGACTGCACTATCGACCTCCGGTCTGAGCAGGGGGTGAAGTAGCGGCGCTGTCGTCGCCGCCACAAGCGAAAACACGCCGAAGCCTAAATCGCGCTATCAACATTCCGAATCATAAACAGTATATATAGAACATCTCCGAACTCTATCACACGGAGCGTCGGCCGCTCCCCGGGCAGAACACCTTGCCCGGCGGGGAGATCTCCCCTTTTCCTTCATCGGCCATGCCGACCACTACCTGCCCTGCCTGCAAGCACTATTTTTGCTTAGTTCACCTTTTTTTAGGTGTATATTTAACTTTGTTCGTGTTTCATTTTCGACACGATTTTCGTAACGACACCCACGGGATGACATATCCCGTAGGATCATTATAGAAAGAGAATCCACTAGACTTAGAAATCTAGTAGGTTTTTTTACACTTATTAGATATTTTTAATCCCCCACGTTTCGTATTTTTCGGAGCACCCATAGTCACGGTGACCTGACGTGTTTCCCTTATCCGCTGTCTTTTCTTAAAATGATTGAAACTTTTAAGTACATTGTTTTATGAGTAGTCGTAGCTCTTATGGAAAACCTATATCAAACACGCAATGTAGTACAAAGTGATTACGATTTTGACTTCAACGAAGTTAGCGAATATGCTGATACTAATCATTTAAGTCGAAACAACAATGTAAGGCCGAGATGCGGTTAACGCAACCTTTATATTATTATTTTATCTGATAACTTATGACATAATGCCACATTATATGCCCATTAATTCTGCCATAAATGATTTAACAACGTATATTATTATATCGCTTTTTAATAAAAACATACACGTGTGCAGTTTACTTGCGGTAGAAGTGAAACTTTCGGTAGTAGTTCTTATACGTGGTAGAGCCATGCTGCAGTTATATTAGTAGTATAGTTGTAGCACGAATGAGTCGGCTCGACCGGGGAAGGACCACGCTCCCACAGAATACCACCGTAAAATAGTATCTTAATACTGCTATGTTTCGTATGGTGAGTGTAGAGAACCGGGTACCCTTTTTACTAGATACTAGGCATTCTATCTTAGTCCTCACGGGTGAAAACGCATTTGCATTTTGATTCGTAATCGAGGATAGATGTAAATTTCTATAGGCCACAGCAACCACTTACCATCAGGGGGACTGTGTGGCTGCGGGCTTTCGAAAATACCCCCGGAACGTGCAAAACCCACCTCCACCCAGAGCGAAAGGCGTCATTAGATGATTTTCCATCCGCAAAAAAAAAGGGGGACTGTGTACTCGTTTGTCACCCTATCCTATAAAAAATTGTTGGGTTTATGTAATTCAAGTATAAATAAAATAATAAACATTGTATACTGTATTCTATCTCATTCTCTCGCATGCTAAATCCTGTAGATGTTTGTCTCTTTTTAGTGTCGTTTTTTCGTTTATTCGAGTTTCAAATCACAACGATTCTAAAGAAGTTTTCAGTACAAAAAATATTAAAAATCTTTAAAATCGGTTCTGCAGTTTTTGAAAAATCAGTAGACATAGATAAAAACATATATAGCGTACCCCGTGGAATAAAGAACATTCTTTTTGTTGAAAACCGCTGAATGACTTTCAATAAGTATCTATTGTTTATAATCTACACAGCTTAAAAATTACAGTGTTCTATTCTTGATACCTGGTACTTTACGACTCTAAGCCATAGACAAAGTAATTCACGTGTGATAAAACGCTTACATTATTTCATATCACAACGGAAAATTAAGAGCTTTTACAAAACGCAGTCATCATCCTAGTGCAAAGTGCACTTAATTGCATTCGATAAAAGCATATTTTATCTTATCCGACTGCTACAAGAATACTCGGAAATAAGTGTACACGCGTTTAGCGTTATAGTGATCTCAAGTAGGGCTGTGCTTAAATGATTATGTTTATCGATATTTACGTTTTAAAATCTCTTGATTTTATGTCTTTAACTCATTTCTATAGCATAATATACATTTACACTTATTACAATTACAATTATTTGTCATCAACAAGTATTCTTAGATATAGGACTTTACGTGTTTTTTTTAATAAACGGCTTCGTGGCGCAGTGGCTTTGCAATAGCCCACGGCTACCGTACAAACACGTTTGTATGGCCTGCAAATATCCTTGCAAATTACTATCTCCGGGAACAGGTAGAATATCCAAGTGTGGGCGGGTAACGTTTTAAAAAAATTAAAGTGTTATATATCAAAGTAATGGTTGTCGACATAGCGTGACTTTACATAAAAATATTGAAAAGAAAATACTACAACCGAAAAAGCTTTTTTTTTGCGCCCGAACAAATATGGGCAACCCTCCGGAAACGGGGGAGGGAGGATACCACAGCCCTCGTGTGAACACCCACTAACTCAACCTTTTAGGAATTCTTAACTCACTAAATCTCAAGCCACAACGACCCTCCTTGCAGAAAGGAGGGCGCAGGAAAAATAGCATAAAGGAGTTTGTTTTATACGTAAAGTAAGATGGTGATGAAACTAAATGTTAGTAACAGTTTTGGAAAGTATTATTTTGCGATTACCAGCATTCCGCTAAGTGTCCGAAGTCGCAACTATGGTAGCCTATGAGATATTATTTTTATATATTATTACATTATAGTCTCCCCAAAGATTGCCACATAGTGGAGGTTTTTGCAATAGTTGCCACACTTGGCAAGTGGGTTGACAACCGCGGATTTTAATAATGTGAGATGTTATTACTAAGATGCTGTCGCTCATCTCCTATTTCAGATTCCCTCTGATGCCTCTTAAGACATCAACAGGATGACCTGGATTAGTGTAATATCTGATGCCGCCACAACACAAGCTAGCTTATGAAATAGGAACTAAATCATTTGTTTTACACTCGTGTTGCATCGAAACACATTTTTACATCGTTAAAACATAATATTGACTGCCTCGTTGGTCTAGTGGTTGTAGTAGTACGTGGTCGGGTCAAAAAATTAATTATTGAGTTTTTCTGTCCAGAAATTCTCAGTAGCTGCCCGGAGTCAGGAAGTCGGCGGTGTCTCACCCCCGTGCCTCGGAAAGCACGTAAAGCCGTTAGTCCTGTGCCTGATTTCTCTCCGATCGTGTCGGTTTACCGTCCCATCGGATTATGAGAGTGAGGGAATAGAGAGTGCATTGGAGGAGAGAGGGAATAGATTGCATGCACAAGCACAGGCGCAATCGTGCACAATCGGGCACTATAATCCTGTCCTGCGCCGATGGCTAGCCTCCGTTGAGGCATGTCGCCGTGGCCGAAATTCGGTCTGGAGGACATTATAAAACGTAATATTATGAAGAGGCGTTAAGTTATTTTATAAAATATATTTATTTTCTTACCTTAATCAATGAGTTCTTACTGAAACCCAATTGTTTCAGCCAAACGACGCAGAAATTTACGTAGACGTGGCCCCTCACTCTGAAGAGCAAGAAGAAATAGAAAAGAGATACACAAAAGAGCTAGTAGAAGAATTTAATTCAGCCAGTGCAGATGCTCTGCTCCTCTTCACGGAGTACACGGCGAAAGCTGGAGCTGAACTCAAGACTTTCTTGAGGAACATATCTTTGCTGGCTACGGAGACTATTGATTCTACGGATCCAAGAGTTTTGGACAATGCGGTATGTATGCATTAATAATATATTTTATTAATGATAATAAATAAAATTCTACTATATAAAAGCTTTTGACATGGAAGTCCAAACGGACAAGGGGGTGAAATCAACGGAAGAGAGATATTTTGTATTTATAATTTTTTACCGTTACCGTTTACGTTTACACTAGTCTATTGCAGTTTACTTCTGAACGTAGCAATATTCTGAATATAGCCATAGGTTTCTTCGTTAGTCAGATATTTTCCACAGTCGTCACGCTTGGTAAACAGGGTTTTTTTTTAATTTTACGTTATAAGGAATCTGTTTATTGCTGCTGCACCCATTTTTTGATTTGTTTTCCTCTGTCATCTCTCACGACTCCCACGGGATTATACGGGATAGTGAATATTCTTACACCGCCACTATACAGTTATTTATTATTATTTTGCTATTTTTCACGGCTTTGCAGCTGATTTAAGGCTCGGAACGAGCGTGGTATTATTTATATTATTACTTTTTTGGTTTAGTGGTCATAGACGCTGATCATAAGATCCGGATCGGGTTCGAATTCTGGATCGGGCCAAAATCGGTTTTTCGCATAAAATAGTCAGTAGCACCCTGGAGTCAAGAAGTTGGCAGTGTTCCATCCCCGTACCTCGGGAAGCACGTAAAGACGTTGGTGCTACACCTGATCTCCGTTCGTATTAGTTTACCGTCCCATCAGACTATTAGCGTGAGGGAACATAAAATGCACCAGTACTTGCGCATACACTAGGGCACTATAATCAAGTACATAGTATATGGCTACACTCCGTTGAGATCGACCTTCATGACCAAAATTCTGTCTGAAAGGCATTATTATTTTATTTATTTTTTATACAAAGCTAATGCTTTTATTCTGCTTTTGTCTATCGAATAATGTTCTTTAAACTCATACATAACTAATTTTATGTATTTATTTGTAATTAAATTTAAAAAAAAATTACATACTTAAAGGAAGTAATAAAACTTACGCTTTAAAAGTAGTATCAAAAACACTAAAACACATTCTATTACATTTATACATATAAGCATTGCAGTCATCAAATACACGGGTCATGTTACATAAAATATAATCTATCACCAACACCTTATTAAACTACTAAATATTTCCCCTAAAACTACTACAAAGCTGCTGTATCCTTACCTTGATTATCTTATCGATATCGATAATTTCCTTATATCTTTAATTCTCTATTAGTATTTATACAAAGAGGTGAGGTGTATTTGAAATAATTACTTCACCTTATTAAAGACCTCCTTTGTAATAAATATATTTGAAGTTTTTTGATCTTCTACTAATTCTTTGATGTTGATAAAATATTTTTAATACTTATGAAGAACAATGTAACATAGTCAGTCACATCAGTATATGTATGTAATGTTCTAATACCGCGTTTGATAGACAAAGTAGGGCATCGAGAATTCCTACGTGCCGGCATTTGCGGTGCATTAGATTTGCACTTCAATAGACATTCATCTCGCGTGCGTCTGGGCGCAGCATCTGTTTGTTGTTAACTTATCGTATCACCTGACTTTGTGTACGGTACAAATATTTATTTATTTAAATTGATAACACAATATGATGTATATACGAGTATGTGGACTTAATGCTCCAATGCATTTACTATTAGTCAACCTTAGGATAATGCGATGATAAAATGACGCCTTTTTATAAAAATAGAATAGGGGCGACAAACGAGCACTCCGTCCACCAGGTAGTTTATGATGGATGCTGTAACCGGTAGACATCTACATACATCCCTAATTAGGAATTAAAATGGAGATGCATCATTTCCATTAAAAAAGTGTCTTCGGTTCTCTACACTCACCAAACGAAACACAACAATATTAATCTGCTATTTCACGCTGGTATTCTGTGAGAGCTCGGTCCTTCCCCGGTCGAGCAGACCCTTTCGTGCTACATTTATATAGCTGTATAGTATATAGGTATGGTATATAAGAGAGAAGCTGATAAAGTAATATGAAAATTAATCAAATGAGTTCGGAACCAATAATGTAAACAAATATGTTTTAATATAAACTAGTATTTATATAAATATATTGAAAGTACATAAGTTTAATTGGGCGTTAGACTTCTTTTTAACTTCCCGTTAAGAAAATTGGAAATTTTCAAAAATAGAGAAGTTATTGGTTTTTGAGAAATGTCTAAAATAAATTTTTTAAAACCGTTTTTTTGGAATAACTTTTAAACTTATCGACTTCAAAAACTAATCAGCTCTTAACCTCAAAAAATGACGTCGAATGCCATTTGGATAAAAAAAATCAGTTCATTCGTTCGTGATATCGAAAGAGAATGAATTTGAAAAAAATCGTTTTTTTACATAACTTCGAGATTTCGCAACAGAGCAAGTTTGAACTTTTCATATTATTTTAAATTATTCCGACAACAACACAACGTCATAATTTGGTGAAATTTGGAGCGCTTTACATTTGAAATTAGCGGAAAGTTCCAGGGATGGCATGCAGGGTCAGCCAATTTTTTGCCAGGGATCTGTCTGGATAGCATGTTTTGTTCCCGTCTAAAGGACATGAGTATATGCTCCGTGGCGTAATGGCTCAGTAATGATTTTATACGTGGTAGAGCTGCCACGCTGCAGCTGTATTATGGTTGTAGCACGAGTGGGTCGACTCCACCGTGGTAGGACCACTCTCTCACGGAATACCAGCGTAAAATAGTAGTTTATTACTGCTGTGTTTCATTTTTGCATTGAACTACTATTTCACGCTGGTATTCTGTGATAGCGTGGTCATTCCCCGGTCGAGCCGACCCATTCATGCTACAACTATACCACAGATTAATAAATAGTTTACCAAACTATACTACTAATATAACTGCATCATGGCTCTACCACGTATAAAAGTGTAATATTCTTAATCGAGGATAAATGTAGATGTTTATAGGATCACAGCATCTACTTACCGTCAGATGGACTGTGTCGTCGATTATTATTGTATAAAAAAATGAAGGCCGCTGGTGGCCGCGGGTTTGAATCACGCACGGAACAAGTAATTGTATGAATTTTAATTGTTCTGGGTCAAGATGTTTGTCCTTGTGCAATTCATGTTTATAAACAGCCTCCACGATACAGAAGATAATCCTAGAGTGAGGGTAACGTTTTATTTAAAAAAAATAGGAAGCCAGTACGATTACAGACTATGAGGCAATCTATCCTCGTCCTCAATAGTGATAACATATTGTGATTTTCATTTTGAAGTTGGCTGCAGCTGGTCAGAGGCTGAAGGAGCCTATATTCATAGAAGACTAGCACAAATATCAGCATAACGCTGTTATTTCACATAATGAGTGACGAGAATGTAAAGGTTTTAGTAGTTGTACCGACCCAGTTGGACTAGGCAAATAAAGAACACAGTTTTTTCTTTTTTTGTGGGGAAATCCTCAAGGATACCTCTCACTGCACGAGCGAAGTAGGTTATGCTGGACTCAGCTAAAACTCCACGGTGAACATAAGCGTATACGAGGGGTTCCAGGATCTCCGTTCGGAACGCAACCGGAGTGCCTCTATCACTTTGCTACACTTACAGATCATAGAAACAACAGTTGTTTCTATGATCTACACTATTAGTCCCCGGGAAGTGCAAATAGTGTAGAAAAAACTCTAGAGTTAAAGTAAAGTAATGTTACATCTTATGTACAGGTAGACTTGCCAACCTTTGTTCACGGATCTACCGGGATAATTGTAAAAGTATCTATTTTAGTCGTATGTCACAAAACGGGACCTGAGCTCATCCACGACGTGTGTAACACTTGACAGATTTCATGGCTGGGGAAGTCAGTTTGTTAAAAAGGTGTAGAAATTAATGTAACCTTTTGAAAATGTTACTTATATTTTATATTCATTAGTCATTAGATTAGTAATGGATAAACCAAACTCCGGGCATTCCTAAAAGTAGAATTGAAAAAAAGTTAAGAATGAACAATGAAATAAATAAGTAGCACAACTTTTATTTAAAACGTAACACTTCAATGATGAACCTTGTAATGAACCTGTGTAAGCATTTCCGTGCTAAATAAAATCACTTCAGTGCAAACTAACGACATCTAGCGAGCATTTAAATTATTACTCTCATAGGCGTACCGCACACATCTTTCGCCCTAGACTATATAGCAGGTATGGCAAAATAATGGCACGCGTGCCATAGATGGCACGCGGCACAGTATTTTTTGCCGCCACCGATCACAAAGTTGATTTTACGAATGAAGTATGAAGTACGAAGTAGGATTTTACGAACGAACGCGAGTGATCCCCGGCAAACAACCCTCACCAACCGGCTACTTTACCCACTAAACACACCCAACGCGACCCTCCTTGGCAGAAAGGAGGGCGCAACGAGTGATCCTAGTTACATCGTGGACTACTCTATTGCTAATGACGTTGCTGTTGAGTTCGTTTCATTATCATTATCATTACAGCCCTTCAAAAGCCCCCGCCTCCCCCAAGTAATGCATAGTTCGTTTACGCATAGCGTAATAGTCAATTTCGTAGACACAACTGTACCTAAACGTTCATTTGTGTAATATTTTGGATTTTACAACCCCAATATTCACAATATTTGTCATCTAATCTGCAACAACAGAAGTCACACTAATGTTACTTATTATAAAAATTTATAAAAATTATTTTGCTTGGTTACCTATTTAAAAATTGGTTACCTATTTAAAAATTCCTTTAGAAAAATGTTACGTTGATACATAAAGGTTTCGCCACGCCTGCTCTATAGAAACGTTACGTCCCGGCTTTCGCAGGACGGTTAGAAAGCCAGGGTACAGATCTAGGCTTGAAGAAGTATGGAGGTGATTAATTCCTGACATACAGGATTCCTAATGTAGGAGCTAGGGCTGTATATGTTTATCATTTTTGAGTTCTAACAGAAGTATGCGGGGAATGATCCGAGGTTGCTCACCTACTGGGAAATGTAAACTATGTAAGTGGGCTACACACCTA